TGGGTAACTACGTGATATTTACGGAGGGTAACGCCTGCCACCTAAAGCTCGAGTGTTGTAAAAAGTTATCTGCAGAGTGAAACCATTCCATATCTTCCATGGCCTGCAATGTCACGGAGCTGAATCCCATAGTGCATGCATGGAACATATTGGAAAAGTGATTAGCAGGTCGCAATGTGCTGCCAGGCAGCCTCCACGAGTTGTGACATATAGGGAATGGGTTACCGTAATTTCCGGAAGAAAAGCCGCATCAGCGTAAACGCCGCAATAGATTAAATTGCGCGTGACATCGTCGTGGGCCGTATAGATGCAAAAACTCAACCTAAGTCCTGATATATGACATATCAGTTAAGAAAAATGCATAAAATGAAATCGTAACTCAAAAATAAATTAAAGGTAAGAAATGTGTAGCTTCTGTGCCGTTTAGAGACATTTTCAAAAATTTTCCGCTCCCTAATTAAAAACTATTCAACAAGTACTTGTACCCAAACTGATGGGATCTGTATTTGGCAGAATGCCAAGAAAAATCCATTCATGCTGAAGGGGAAATACGTCAGAGTTCGTTATTTCGAGGCAGGTGGAGTCGTGTCCGCCTTTGAAAAAAATTGCAGAAAAGGCAGGGGTGGGAAGAGGATGGGTCCTGGAAGATTCATCGAATGGCAGAGGAGAGAGACTATTCAAACTGATGAGAATGTTGATTTGAAAAGGGGAAGAATGTTATTGTTCTGAGATATCGTTTAGGGTGAATAATGCATGTAGGTCCGTTCAAGGGAAAGAATGTAAACAAAATAACTTTTCTTCTCAAAAAAGCAACTGAGTGGTCTTTTGTGTGGGAACAGCACCAGTCTATGCACAATGACAAGGCCATCCAAACTATGTACAATGAACATCATAGGAAATATTTTATTTTTAGTGCACCTAAACGCCGCATGGGTAGATACTCCGCACCCGCTGAAAATTTAAGTTTTAAACACGTAAACGCCGCGGCGTTTCTTCCGGAAATTACGGTAATTACTGTTGCAATAAGCAATAAACGAAGCTATTGCCAGCCTTCCTCGCCGTTGTCAAGAATACATATCAGCTATAGGATATCATATCTATTATTAACGTGATGGTTCCATTACATATTCTTCTGACCCATTTGGTCATAATACTTTTTATATATATATTTGCTTTACTGCTTGCTATGTAATCTAATAATACCTCCCCAACATCTTGGACGAATTTCAGGCACATCCATTAAATAGTTTTTGTTTTATTTTGTTCTTTGCCTTGGTTGCTTATTTTTTTAGCAAGATATTCCCAATTTATGCAATTAACATTCCAAATTCATGATAAACATTTATTTAAATTTAAATTATTTTTAACGTGTTTTGTAAATTAAACAAGAAGAAGTATAGAAAATGTTGATAAATGCCAAAGCTTGAATAAAAGTGTTTTTTTAATTCAAAAATTAGAACAAAATTCTTAGAAGGTGAGTAAAGGAATTAGCGCCCTTTTCCCTCCGTTTGGAAACCTCTGTTTTATATGTTTCGCAGAAATTAACGTTAGGATTTTAAATCTTGCTATCATTTATAAATTATATGCTGATATGTATTCTAAATTTACTATGGCAGTAAACAATTGAATAGTGTAATGCATTTTTTAAATGTATTTCCTAACAACCATCTTCATGCTAACCTATCATGAATTTCGAGATTGCAGTTTTAATCCTAACATTGTCAAGAACAGTGATACCCATAAGAGATATTCTCAATCTAATGCGTATTTTGAGCATTTTAATTAGAAAAAAAAAATATAGGTAATTTTAATTAAATGAGCCTTACAAGGAAATTAATTCAAAAACGTTTTGCTCGTTTTTAAAGAAAATGGCTGAGATACATTAAAAAAAGGAAATGTTAACGCTGAGTATTTTAATTAGAACCGTGATCGAAACGGTCTGTTAAAAATATTTAAACAATAAAGTGCATTTAAAACTTCTAAAGGGAAATTTATTCAACACAAATTTAAGATTTTGTGAAAATATACTAAATGATAAGGGAAAATTAAAAATTATTCATATTTTACACAATAGTTGAATTTCTTTTTAAGGAAGGTGAGCGTGGTCATTGATATCTTAATATTTACTAATCCAGAAGACAAACAACAAAAATCAGCGTTATATTTATAAAATTTTCACAGGACTAGTTTCGATGGTTTTACCGAACCACCATCCTCAGCTGCAAAACCGCAAATGAACAAGATAGGAAAAAATGATTAGATAAGATAAGAAAGCCTGGACAAGAATAAGCAAGTGGCGCCATCTGTTGGTGAAACCAGAACTAAAACATAATTTCTTTAAAGGCCGAAGGTTGCACGTGGTGTGGCCGCCATTTTGTGATTGCATGAGTTTCGTGAGGGATTTTTCTGCTGTTTTGTGTGTTTGCGGTTTTGCAGCTGAGGATGGTGGTTCGGTAAAACCATAGAAACTAGTCCTGTGAAAATTTTATAAATATAACGCTGATTTTTTTGTTTGTCTTCTGAATTAGTATTTATTCGGCGTGTTATTGTGTCTTAATCTTAATATTTGTTTCAGTATCATAATATCTTTAAGACATTTCGTGAAATGAGGTAACCCGTCTGTGTTCGGTAGAAAATAATAATAATAGTGTTCAGAGGGAAGTAATCTAAAAATAACCATATTAGTGATTAGAGAAAAAAAAAGAGTATTCTTCCTGAATCCTGTAGGATGAGAGTCAGAAATACCAAACCTGCGTGATGCTTGCTGGAATCATATATCTCTTTTTCCGCTTTTGTTTTCTCTTGTGGAAGATGGGACTATTGATTGCAGAGATCTGAGAAGATGGCAGGAAGTAAAGTCCCTGGGTTAGGCTATCCGCCCTTAGGGCCATGGCTATCTCGAGAAATATAAACTTCGGTTCAGCAGCGTTTTTATTCAACCTGATAATTTTTTGTAAATATTTCCTGCTACTTCTTCTATCCTGGTTTCGCGAAAAGATAAAATGCTTCGAAAAAAGCTTGGAGAAAAGTCTAAGAATTTTGGAGAAATAATAATATAATGGATACTTTTTTCAAATGGAAGCAAGAGTGTAAAAAATGCGAAAAGATTAATGAATAATGTTTTTGAAACCAGAGGAGCTGAGCATTTCATCTTCAGGTTATCTTTTAAGAAGTCACATATAACTGAAATATTGCTACGTTTTATCTTTCTTCACTTTAATTATAAAACATGAAACCTTAGCAAAATTTATAAAGATAAATAATATAAAGTAAAATCCTAAATTTCCAAGCAATTTGTTATGATAATTTTACCTGGATGCAAATAATCTACTGATACGTTCTGTAAAGAGTAAGACGAAGTTCATTTCTCCTCCTACTTAAGTATGAATTGCATATTAGTAATAGAAGAAATTTTAATAAAAACTAAAAGTCTGAAAGTGTTAAGATTTTAAAGGTCGCCTAAAAGGGTTTGTTAAGGTTTTTCTACTCTCTCGCTGAGCCCTCAGGCTACTAGTCTCATGCTGCATTCACTCGGGCTAACCTATTTTTTTTTTTTTTTGTACATTTAGCTTCATTATTAAACATTATTTTCTTCCCGCTTACGCCATATATACTTCAACAGAACAATTACAAAAATTTTAAAAACTCCGTGGATCTAGAACTCCCGATGAAGTGTCAAGTTTTGGTATACATTTTTCTACTTTCTGCAGTCTTTTTTTAGTTTATCATATCAGTGCACAATGTTCTTAGCAAGCTGGTTTGAAACGTTTTGCCATTTTATTATTAATGTTTTATGTGTTAAATTCATTAAATAAATATTATGTTCTTTGCACTTAAGCCAGATAAAATTCAGTTGGTTACCAAAATCACAAAGTAATGTAAAAACAGCACATCTTTTGAATTTCCGATATACAGCCTCTCGCGCTGGAGATAAAAAATCTTTCATCCGTAGAGTATTACCATTACTCGCTTTCAAATCGTTGAGTTTGTTAAAACGGACTTCCAGGAGCACTCTGGTGCACTTTCATTCCAGGAGCACTTTCATTCGGACTTCCAGGAGCACTCTGGTGCACTTTCATTCCAGGAGCACTTTCATTCGGACTTCCAGGAGCACTCAGGTGGATGACTACGTTATTCAAAATTTAATGATCCTATATTAGGTGGGTTTTTCACACTTCGAGAAATATACATATATATTCATGCATATTCTTCGTTATTTAATTTCTTTAAAAGTAACACAGGGAGATAAAATATCGTGGCAGCAATTTTTAAAATAATTCAGTCATTTAGAGTGATATGCCGCTAAACCTCGTTTTGAGACTAAAATCCCATTTGGGTTTACGCCCTTTTGTGCTAGCAATCCGAATATAGAACAGGAAATTTCACAAACGGTAATCGAAAGAGATAAAAGCAATTATTAAATAAAGTAATTAATGATGATAGTTTATTAGATTCTTATTTGCAAATTTTGAAGTTATAAAATGCATTTCACAAAATATGAAAAAATCTTAAACGGAAGCTTTTTATTTTTATCATAGGGCAAGAAGGGGATTTATGAAGAGAAAAGATTCTTAATTATCAGATTATCAAACTTAAGATCATTAAAAGTGGCTGTTGCAAAGTTTACGACGTAAAAGATCTTACGAATATGATTTCAAAAATATCTACAGTTCTCACTTTGAATATAATAAAATATCACGTAAGCTGCAAATGGAATTTACATGGAAACCTGCAGTTATCGGAAACCGATTCACATTTTGAAGCAATTGAAATTTTACATAGAAGAACGAAAGAAATAGTTCAGATTGTGAACAGTAATGAAATATTATCTCATATTTCCCTTTGAGTTAAAGATTTCTTCCATTATTTTATCTACAAATATTGATATTTCAAACAATAAGCTTTCTGAAGGCAATATGTTTCACTTTTATATCATTGTAGTGTATGATATGTACAATTTGCATAGTAATGTTAAATACTTTCCAAAATTTCAGGAAATACTGGTAATGACTTGATGAACGAAAGGATAAGTCTGTCAGATATACTGGAAGGAAATTTGGTGCCACGAAGATTCAATGGTAGTTGGTTGAAAGGTAAGAATATTTATGACATGAATTTAATGCAGGTCAGGAAAATTAAAAATTGATTTTAGATTTATTGATTACTTAAAATTCATATATTTAATAAACTGATTCACATCTTTTGATAACTTTGTAATAAAATACTTCGTAATAAATATAAGTAAGGTATTTCCAAACGATTACACGAATAAATAAGGCTTGAACGACTGATTATAAATATGTGATAAAAATGTAATATAATAAATGCATTCTAGAGACATTAGATATTTTTTTGAAGCAAGATACAGGAAAAATGGCCAATGCCTTCTCTGGGACTGGAACTTGAACCTTTCAAATACGTGGTGAATGTGCGACTGCTACACGACGAAGGCATGGTGGAAAGAGGGAGAAAATATCTTATTAGCATAATAAGATAAATATTTTTATAATCATATCATGTAAACAAAATTAGGTCTATGCTTTTACGATCAAAAACATTTGAGGTGGAAGAAACTAAATGTTTAGAAGCTCGTTAACAAATGCTATAAAAATAAAGCTCTGTATTTAAGTTTTCGAGAGTCAAATGTTTTTAAAATTTGGCTTTGATACTAGATACATATGAATGCACTGATCTCAAATTCCGAATTTTAGAACCTCAAAAAATTTCAGTATTTTCGGTCTAAGAAAATTCATTTACATGGCTAGATGTTCAAAAGGTATTTCGTTATAATACTTTAAAGAGACATTTGATCGTGAAATACATGAATTTTTTTAAAAAAAATATAAAGATACTGCAAAATCTCTATTGAATAAAAAGACTAAATCTTGTCACTGCATAAAATAGTTTACAATAGGTATGATGTGTGAGTCCACTTCAAATCTTAAAATTATCTTTTTATCATATGAGTGAAAAAGATATATGTGAATAGAAACTCATAATATAAGATCTGAATTTTTGAAATTAAATACAAATCTGTACTGAATTAAAAATTCAAATTTATTTCCATGAATATAAGGTGTTTGATATCAGTTGTCTTCATAATATGAAATATTTTCTTTTGCTTCCTATGTTTCTGCATAATACCTTTACTCTACTCATTTTTTGTGACGCATCGTTTATTATTTTTGTTGAACAGTCTTCGATAGAGATGACGAACATTTATTTCTAAATTCTCAAGCAGTGCACTGAAACCCCTTGGTTCCATTCAATTTAGAAGAACATTAAAGCCAGGCTATCAATTTAAGTTTTTTGACGTCTCAAGCATCAATCAAATTGACGGAATGATTGCTTGATACAGTAACCATCAAAAACACTGGAAGCGGAGAATGATTGATAAAGAAAACTGGAGTTATAAATAATAATAAAATAAAAAATTTCCTTTAACGGTCTATTTTAGGTAGGCGCTTTTATTTTTATTCCTTTGATATTATTAATGATTGATTAAAATAATATTAAAGAAAAGTTTAAAATTCCTTTCTCAGCACTATATCATTTCACTTCAACTCTTCACCGCTAGATATCATCTGACATTACCTGAATATTTAAAAGTATCAGAATGCAGCCATTCCTTTCCTCGTATTTATTTACAGTGGGATATTGTACGTAGGTCTTAATAAGCATTTCAAATTAAAAAGCATGCTTTGTAATTGGTTATATTAGGATAACCCTGAGGAATTTAAAAATGAATTTAATCTTCAAATTGTGATGAAATTAACAAAAATTACTTAAAAGCATTCTTCCTATGGAAATTTTAGGAGAGAGCAAAATATTCTCAGGGCCGTAGCTTTTGAATTGATGCATGAGTAAAATATTTTTCTAGTCAGTAAATTAAGTAAATATTTATTGTATGGTAGATATTTCTGATAAGATAAATAATATAAAATTCACGTAAATTAAAAAAATAAAAAAAAAATTCTGAAAGCCTTCAGATTTTACATTACGCCCAAAGTGGCTTTTTTTAACGTTTTTTATGTTACATTTATTTATTAAATATTATGTTCTTCGCACTTAAATCATAAAATTGAATTCAACAGCAATATCGAAAAATGATTTTAATATGAGCATATCCTTAGAATTTCCGATACAGTCTAGCGTGATGGAGATAAAAAAATTTTGTTTTTTTCCCGTAAAGTTTTGCCATTGCTCGCTTCGAAATCGTTCAGTTTCTTAATCAAAAAATCGGTAATGTGTTACAAAGTATGAAATCGATAATAAAACAAATTTCAAATTCCAACTTCGGGCTTCCAGATGCCCATATTCGAGTCTAGACGTACGTTATTCAAAATTTGATGGTTCTACGTACCGTTGTTTTATTGCTATGCGAGAAACGTACATACATATATGCAGATTCTCTATTTTCTAATTTCTTTAAATATAATGCAAGGCTGCAATACTTGATGGTAACAATTCGAAAGTGAACCGACATTTAGAGTGGACCAACGCAAAATCTCAAAACAAAATTAATAGCCCTTCTGGGCTAACGCCCTTTGGGCTAAAAATGGGGAATTTAAAATTCTCTCAATCAATGTGTTCGGTAAACCAAGAATTCTTACAAAACTCTGAAGCATTTAAAGAGGTTAGATACTAAGTCAAGTTACCATGTTTATATGACTAAAAGTGGGCGTTACATACAGGCGATACTGCACTGTCGAAAATATTTTAATATAAAAGGTAAAATAATTACAAGTCTCTTATATACAGTGCATCTAGGACGTTTTAGAGCTAATATTTTGAAAAAAAATTCTTTCATGCTTACCAAACGCTTGCTTCTCCTAAAATACCATCATCTTATCGAATGAATCGAGAATGGTACATGCAGTTAATTATTTGCTTTGCTTTAGTAAGTATGTGTTGCCATGAATTAAAATGCTGATCAAGGAATATCAGTTAAGGTTCAGCGTAAACGGGAAAACAACAACAGAAGCACTGGAAATGTTCTGTAAAGAGTATGGGGTTTAAGCATTAGAATATGACCCAATGGTTGCCGTTGGTGAGGATGATTTCGTACTGAGCATAAGAATAATAGTGATAATGAATCTAGGAAGTGTCGCCATTAACAGACATGAAAGAATGAGATCACCGACAATATTTGCTGGAAATATAGCCACTTGTTTCTTCGAATCACAGCTGAATGAATCAGGCGTCATCAAACACATCTTCCATACCAAAAGCATCTGCCATAAAATAAAATGTTTGCTTAATTTACTGGTTAGAATAATAATTCACTCATGCATCATTTCAAAAGCTGCGAAGCGGAAAATGTTTTGCTCTCTTCAAAAAATTCTAGGACAGGATCAATGCATTTGGGTAAGTTTTATTAATTTCATTACAGTTCAAAGCTTGAATTCAGCTTTAAAATTTTTCAGGTTTATTCTAATATTAGCAGTTACAAAAATTTTTTTTCGTTTGAAATGCTTATTAAAACTTATATACAAAATTCCAATGGAATCAAGTACGGGGAAAGGAAAAGCTCCATTTTTATATTTATAAATAATCAAGTAATATAGTAAATTGATGCTGAGCTGAAAAAGGATTCTTTACTTTTATTTAATATTATTTTAATCAGTCATTAATATTATCAAAATGATAAAAATGAAAACCCCTGCCTAAAATCAGCATCATTCAGAATATTGCTTCAGAACACTGCTCACAAATTGTCTTGCGAGACAATTGAAACGAAACATGTTCTCGTTTTGTTCCTCACATACATCGATGGCAAGACAAAAAGAAGATCACATTTCTTTACGCCTTGATTTGATCCAAGCAACAGACATTAAACATGATTTTCAAATAAACTGGAGATGAAATTTGATAGTTTGTGTTTCATTCTGAGATAAAATGACAATCGTGAGCTTATGTTGAAAGAACGTTCACCACAGTCTTAGAAATGTTTGTTTCAAAAATCTCGACTAAAAATGATAATGATACTGAAAACTAATTCTGTTGTATGAAAGTCATTTTATTTTATATAAATAAAGAAGAAGGCAATATACAGGGTGATCTTTTTTAAAGTGACAGTGTTTGGAGCGCCCTGTAGCGCTATCTAATAGCCGAAATGGAACCAAACTTGGAACTTAGACTAATCAAGACATGGGACATCACGACATAAATCGTACAGTTAAATTATTAATATTAAAATAAATAAATTAATTTGGGTGGCATTTTTTGATCAGAATGAAATAACTCACAAGGAATGTAGTACCTGAGAGACAGATGGTGGATTACATATTTGAATAAGACTAATGAATACATTTCTGAAGAAATTGAATTACGTTAAACGTAGAAAAGCTTAACCAAATAACCAGTTCTTGCTGTATGATTGTGCGCCGTCACACAACTCACTTCTTGCGAAGTAGTTTTTAACAGAGGAAAGCATCCTAATCCTCAACTATTCCCTTTGTCTCCAGATATAACACCTACAGACTCTCAGCTCTGACATCATTATTTAATGGTACTGAAGAGCTTTAGAAAACAGTAGTAGATGAATTTGAAAGCTGTACTGAAGATGTTGTATATGAATGGTAAACATATATCTTAGATGTCTCATTTTGATGCAAAACTAAATACATTTTCTATTAACAATGAAAATGGATGGATAGGTTAGTCATCTTAATGTAATTTTTAAGATGTTTTATCTGTTTCAATAAGCTTTGAATGTTTTCAGAAGGAAAAACATTTCAAGGAATGCAAATATATTAAGTCCGTGCCAATGTTGTGCTTCATTTAGTGCCTCCTCTCAAAGCAAACCTATTTCAGTTCCTATTACCTCTCGATTCAAATATGAATTAAAAGTTTTATCGCATACATACTGTAGTCTTTTTGTTAATTTCGTGTGAAGTTACTCTAGACGAGGAATGATTCATAAAATACAGTTCATAAACGCTTCGTTTTTAAATAAATTAGTTATTAGGATTTCATTAACAACTTCAAATTTGGTTATCTGTATTTACTAAATAATACGACCTTTCTGGCAGTATGGCCGTGTGAGGTTGTACGTGCAGTATGGATATAAAAAATTCAGGATGCCTTTACA